ACTGTATTATCATTCTCAAAATATGTTTGTATTCTGTGGTATTAAGGTGGTATTAATACACCATCCATTTATGTTGAATCTTAAATCCGATTAGGAGATATTTTTCTCTATTTGCCAGATTTGTTTTGAGTCAAAACTGATAGAATGTTCCTCCAAACAACATTGATTTGTTGGCCTACAGAATTTATTTCTTACTTTTAAAAAACGTTGTGTTACATGCATTTTAAACTATAAAAATGGATTAAAACAAACATTTATGATGGTCTGTATCAGCCAGCAGATTTTATTGCTTTTCATTATTTTATTGTTAAGGGGAGGAATGCAAAAGTTGATGGCTAAAAGGAAGCGGTATTGCTCTTTTTAACCTCACTTGATGCATTGCTCATAATGTCATATGCTCCAGATTCACTGTTGATGTATAGGAGGGCAAATGTGTGTGTGTGTGTGTGTCATTTTTTAAAAATTTCACCATCTTTCCTTATCATCTGGTGTGGGCACACTCTGGAGCGACTTCAATCTGCTCAGACACAGACGGAGGCGTCCGATGCGAGGCTGCACCACAATCCCAGTGAAGTTAGCTGCCTAAATTACTGCCATTCCCTTCTGAGTGTGTTCTGTGGCATCCTGCCCATAAAGAACTCACAGTCTGATTCAGACGAACTTAATGAATATTTACACCTCAAAATAAATTCAGCAAAATGTTCAGTTAATTGCCCCTCAGGTTCCGTGGGTTGACTAGTATCTGTGGGTCCCCCCCACCTCCCCGGGGTCATGTACCCATAAGTCACCCAGCCTTCAGGAGCATCTCAAGATTCAATGTGGAAATGTAATAACAAAAGACTGAAAGCGCAAATGGAGTTTTCTGCAGCAATGCCAAGGTTGATAGCAATAACAGCAGGGTGCTACTGCATAATTGTTCATTCGCACATCTATTAGGATCCTTAAATATTCATTACTTAGTGTTAAATTAACATTCTGTATATAGAGAAGAGGCTTTTAACTACAATTCCTCTGACCTCAGAAATGGCAGGAGGTCAAATATGGCTACAGAGCTCTAAGTGAAAAATCAGGTAGGATCCATTTAGACTTACAAATTGAGAAGTAGAATCTCCTTTGCCAGAGATTGTGATCTTAAAAAACTCCTACTTTTGAGGGAGGGAAGGGAAGAAAGGGAGTAAAGGCGGAATACTCTGTTTCTAGCATTTTCAGGTAGATCGTGCTTTTATAAGGTTGACCATTTTGCAGTCAAGATAGCGTACTTCCAACGAGGTGATCAGGTTGTGACTCGTTCTTCTGCTGTAATTGTTTTGGTGTGGTCACCTTTCCAGTTACAGGATCATATGAACTCTATAAATGAATTCCTGGGTTGATCGTTACATGATCAATTGTGCAGATCTGAGGTTAAGGACATTTCCTTTTCCGATGAGAATTACAACAAATTATCCATAATAAAGGTATGAAACAAGAATAAAGCACATAAATAAAGGCTGGAATTTTTGATGTGTTGTATACATTGGATTGTTCTAGGATTTTAGTTCCCTTCATTCTGGATCTGTGCTTATGATACAGCCTCATTTACTATAAATTCAGTTAGAAGGTCTTCCTTAACGATATTATAATGTTTTGCTCAAAATATGATTTTTATGCTCCATCAATACAAATATGAAACAGATTGAGCCTTCATAATCATGTAACAAAATATTTTGTAGAATACATATTGATTTTTCTAAAATTAAAGATGTATTTCAAAGGATACTTGCTGTGCTATGGATTTATATCTTCTTTTGCAAGGCCTGGGGCACTATTTTTTAAGGTATGAAATCAATTTCAATAACCCTAAACAAATGACTCTTCATCAGACACATGTTGGCATATCCTGGCATATACTGTCAAACTATGGTTGATGATGTCATAAAGGATGATTTTTAAAATAGGGTATAATCATGACTTATAAAAGTATGAAAGGAGTACGTACACAAGATTTAACTCATTAGCTAATGAGGGAACTGGTAAGATGTTACAACGAGTTCCAAAAAGAATTCAAAGAGCAGAGATAGACATAGGAAGTAAGGAATTCTGAAATGGATTTGCAAACAGATGCAAAATCGTTCTATCCACAGGACAATAGCCAATAATTCCTCCTACCCTAACACAGTTCATTGGTATTTTTCTGGACAAGGATCATGCATATTATTATCAATTTTCTATAACTTACGGAGTTGTAAAACAACTCCTAGACAATGAGAAAAGGTATTGACAACCTGGACAAATGAGCTAAGTAGGACTCTACTTTCCCCAATCACAGGACAAACTTTGCAATTTTAAAACTTTGGCAACTTGTGTAATAGTACTTTAGAATTAATGTGCATTTAAAAGCAAAGTTTTTAAAGTTTAGAAACCTGCTTTTATATAACCATACAGAATATATTTCAGGTGGGTGTGTGGGCAGGGGAGAGGGGCAAGGAAGGGCCGTGATAGGTATGAAGGTAAATCAGTGTTGACAAAAAAACAGCCTAACAATCTCTCCACTCTATTTTTTTTTAATAGGAAAATGGCCTCATATTGAAATTAATTTTTTTATTTAGCTGTTAAAGTAAGTATTTCCAAACTGCATCAGCACTTCATAGAAGCCAGATCATTAAGCACTGTTTTAGCCACTGCTGGCATTAACAAGGGATGGTTCTGGTTCTTCAGGAACAACAAAAGGATTAATGACATAAGCTGACAATATTTGTCACAACATTCCTCAAAATCCCATCAGCCAATTCTTTCCTATGTTGTTTCAACTCTAGCTAGACTACCCTTTGCCTTAGACCAGTGATTTTCATCCAGTGTGATGTGGCACATTGGTGTGCTGGGAGAAGATCTTAGGTGTGCCGTAAAAATTTTTAAAGATTATGAATTAAATTCTTCTCAAAAGAAGTTTAAAGCAGGGAGGCTCCTGTGGCTCAAGGAGTGGGGCGCCAGCCCCATATACCAGGGGTGGTGGGTTCAAGCCATGCCCTGGCCAAAAGCTGTTAAAAAAAAAAAGTTTAAAGCATAGTAAGTATATTCCTTTTTTCACTTTTCTTTTGATCAACATAATTTAAACATGCTGTAGAAGTTTATAGGTTCAAGTGTGCTGTGAGATAAAAAAGGTTGAAGAACACTGCTTTAAACACAAGGTAGGTTTTGATGTTGTCTCTCCTAGACCCTCCCCATTCTCTGTAACTAATCCATTCCAAGGACATTTGGTTCCCTTAGCTAGGGTCTGAACCATATGGCTATGTGCATTCAGTTGAACCACACGCAACTGGCAGTGTTTACCATTCTTGATAGCAGTTTCATGGGATCCAACCTAATTACCTGAATATTTCTCTGGGTTATATGAAACGAGAATTTGTCTTGTATAGTGTATTAGTAAGCTCCTGCTTAAAACTGGCATTGAAATATGAATTTGTAATTAATTTTTAAGGCATGATAGAATTGCTGGTTAGGAAGAAAACAGTCAAGGTAAAAATCACCATAGATAAAAACTGAAGTAATGTTGTGTCTTTAAAATCATATTTTATCTATAAGGAAAAGGAAAACTGTTTAGATTAATCACCTCATGTTTTAAAAGATTGAGGTTATTTCCATGAGACTTCCTGGGGAAGAAAGGCAACTCACCATTAGACTTTGAGGTTTGGTGGTTCCCTTTCATGTATCTGCACTGGCACAGCCTTCACTGGGAAGAGTGGCTTGTTTAAATAATATGGTTGTGTGTGTTGACATTTTCTCAAGAAGTCCTTTTGCCCTACCCAGAATTGTGGGTTTTGAGAAATATAAAATGCAGTATACTCTTGAAACAGAAGAGGGCGCTCATAGGCAAGCTGATGCTACCTAGAGTTAGAAACATTAGTTTATGAATTTGATGGTGCTTATATTATGATTAATGTAAGATCATGAGGGGCATTTAATAAAGCATTTCAAAGCATTGTGAGTCCAGTGGAGTATAATTAAAATTAATGCAGTAATCCGACACTTTAAAGTATTCTTAATGCTTTGTCTAAAAATGCTGTTTTATACAATTTTATACATCCCAAAGATTTAAATACTATGCCTCTCTATAAGCATTTCTATGAAAGAGACAGAAAAATGGTGCATTTATTTCACCAAGGCTTCAAACAAACTTCTTCTAAAGAGAGTTACTAAACTTTAAGTTCTACTTTAAAGTATTTATGAAATATTGTGATTAACTCTTCTTGTTTTGGCATGTATCAAGATCAATGTGGTCTCTAAAAGGCTCCTTCCCAGAACTGTATCTTCAGATTCTTAGGTAAGACAAGCAAATACAGAATATT